TTTCTTGTAAAAGAGGTAAGAAAGTAATAAGAATGTGTCACAATGACTTTTGTGGTTATTGAATTTTACTCTTGTTTACTGAATTAATCAACATCACTTTGGGATTCCTAATGTAATGTTCCAAGCTTCTATACTATTTGTTCTAGTTGGTTGCTGTTAGCAATATGAATTACCTTTTACCAGCAAGAGTCAGTTTAACTCAGTTCCAAACCTTTTAAACTAAAGGTTAGAAAATCAGCTAAAATATGACAGCATGATGTAAAATTTCTCTAAGCACAAAACTGTGTTTCTGGGTGACTTTCTCTATGTTCAGGTTTTCTGAATCTCAAACACTGAATAAAAATTCTCATCTTCATTTAGAGAATCAAAATCTGATAAACTAAAAGAGCTGTGGTTCATTTATAGCAGCCTCCACACAGCTGAGGAGCTTTGAAAATGTCTAAAAATAACGCGATCTAAAATGGTACTTGCAATTTCAGATATCTCAGTGCTTTCACATGAACAAACAGTGAGTGCTGGAAAGGGGAAATGTCCTGTACTCACCAACAGCCTCCCCCTTCCAGCCCTCATCCCGGCCCTGCCCTTCCATGAATCTTGGCAGGGTGAATAGGATGAGCCTAAGGACCTGAACGATACCTGTTCAGGGAAGCAGGATGTTCCTTTCTGGTGGTGGTGATTTCTTTACACATTGACTCTGACTGGGTTTGCAATTTGAGATGCCAGCAAAGATTTCCAAGAGGAACACAGATGAGTTGAATAAAGCCATTTATCACTTGTCTCTGTAACATGCACTACAAAGAACCAAAGGAAAATTGTGCATGCAAAGAGAAATTAAAATTTGATAGAAAATAAAGTTTGCCAAATTTCTGATACTCTCTTGATGGGACGATAGAGGGGTCAATTTATGTCACAGTGGCCGTTTCCCCAAAAGGCACAGGGAGTTTGTTTCTGAGCCCAATGCATTACCGTGTCCATTCAATACGGGAGGACCTTCCCCTTGCGGATGAGAACATCTGTGAGGCTGAATGTCAGGGGTGGCACATAGTGCACAGTTCAGTTTGCCTTGAAAATACGCCTGGGTCTGATTCAGTACAATCACAGAAGAAGGACAAGGTTCCTCTATTTGATCTTTGTAGCCCATGACTTCAAAACCCTCTCTCCTCACAACGTCCAGCTACCCTTAGAAAATGTGAGCATAATAAAGAAATTATTTCCTGCCAGACAATTAGCATATGTACCTGCTCCTTGGCTTGTGCAGATATGTTGGCTGTGCCACCAATCTGCAGATTGGGTGGAACCTTGATAATTATAGACAATTACAATGGTCAGTTATGGAAAATTATGGAGCAGCAGGCCAAATTCCTCTCTGCGGTTGCCCCACTTAACCCTGGCAGAGTTACACACATTTGCAGTGTGAAGCAAAGCTTCGGCCTCTGCATCTGCATCCTACTGTCTGCTTGTGAGTAAACACAGCTTTGTAGGTCAGCAGTTCATCGCTTACAGCATCAACCACATCTTAATGCCAGAGATACGATGGATGGATTCACCACGTATGGATAAGGCCCTATTATTAGGGATACAGCCAATCTTTCACCTTCAAAAGGCTGCCCACAAGAAAGAAAATTATTACAAAAATAGAGCAGACTGAGTTTAAGCAAAAGTGGAATCTTAAAGCCGTGTATTTCATCATTTGCTGCTGGAACAATTAATTGCTTTCTCCTAACCAGATCATAGATGTTTCCCAGCCACACTTCAGCCCACCTCCCACACCATGGCTGCACGAGAGGCTTGATTTCCAGCTGCTGGGCCATTTGCAGGCACAGGGAGAGCTTTTGGCTGCTCCTAAGGCATGTGCCTCCCAAGCAGCTAATAAATTGCTTAGGGAAAAGGCAGGGGGAGCCAGCTGAACCTGGCCCATGAACTGAAAATTAAACTACACTGATGGATGACCAGAGAGGCTACTCTCAATTTACTCTTCTAAGGGATAACATTCAACTATAGCTCAAGCAATGCTTCAGCTTGTTGGAGGGATGTTGAATCTTCTGTCTGAGGATTTACCCTAGACTCCAGCTAGCAAAGATCAGAGACTAGGAGAATGTGCACATTTAGCACATTCAGTTAACCCTCCTGGAGCCAGAATCAGCAGAGCAGGCTGATAATCTGCACAGCCTCATAGAAGAGAAGGGGAAACATGTTTTAAGAGCACAGAAACCAGGGAGTAACCTGAACATGTGGTGGTGAAGGAGCGTTTCGTAAGGAACTCAAAGGTCTGCTTTTCAAATCATCTGTGAAGGCAGTTTGATAAGCTGTGTGATGGTCTTTTAGCTTCTGAGGACTGGGAAGAGAAAGAATGGAAGCTGACAGCAGTTGCTGAGCGCTTTGTGTTTGGGTTTGTTTTTTTTTAAAACTCAGTTCTCTCACTTTGGAACACTTTCTCATCACTGAGAGCGTGTGCAGCAGTGGCACTGGGAGGTGTAGTGCGGGAAGGCTTCTGGCACTACCACAGCCATATCAACCAAGCAGAACCCAAAATACCCTTCCCAAGTGCTGACAAAGCAGATGAATCACACAGGCAGGCTGTACATTGCCACCCAGCTTGCCCTGAAGAGTGCTTTTCAATTATTTAGCAAAGCCTCCAATCAAGAGTATTTAGTTGTAGGAGTGTATTTTCTTTGCCTACATTAGAATAGTGTATTAAATAATGTGCTGCTATAACAGCACTATTGAACCCATCTGTATTACTGTGATGGCTTCCCATCTGTGAAGCTGCAGAGCCAGAAGAAAACTGCAGCTCTCCAGATAGCACTGATGTCAGTAAGAGAGGTACTGAAGAATTTGACAAAAAAGCTGGGTAATATAATCTGCTGCTGCTTGTCATCAGCACCATAGTCAACTTGGCAGTGTTACAGGTCTTCATTCTTTTTTCATCCCAACAACAGAAGAATGTCATGAGGATTTCCTAAACATAAAAGGGTTCAGATGAAGGGAATCTCTTAAAAAACATTTATAGTACCTTGAAAAAGCTTGAAAATGAAATGGTTTTAGCCAAAAACACATGCTCTCACTCACACACATACGAATTAAATAAAACTGCTCAAGAGTGCGGGGCTTTGGATAAAATTTTTCATTTTTTATTATAAAACCAGTGACATTTGAAGTCCTGAAACATTGAAATAAAACATAGTTACAAAGACATCAAAAAGTTTGCAAGCAGATATAGACAAAAAAGCAGAAGAATTTATTTTTTTTTTGGATTATAGAAGTTATATTCAATGCTAAGCAGAGACCATGGGCAACATCCTGGCCCCAGTGAGGTCAATGAATTGGCTGCAGAGATAGCAGAACTTTGCTTATTACCCACATACTCATTAGCACATCTAAACCCTTGAACTTGCTGTACCGGCTCCTCCAGTGAGGCCATGTATTTTCTTGTTATGCATCTGCTCCAAACCAGTTACTTTCCAGATAAAAGCCCTTTGGTCTAGTCAGTGCATTCATACACTGCCAGTATTTTCCTACACTGAGACTCAAACACCAAGACAGTGGGCTGCTAATGGTATCAGTTAAGATTACCCCTCCTCTGCCTTTCTGAAACAATCCTGCTGTTCAATCTGAAACAATCCTGCTGTTCAATTTCAGGGCACACAGCTAACTACCCCAAAAATCACAGCACAAGAGATCTGCCCTTTACCATATAGTAGCTAAACTCTAAACACAAATACATTGCTGCGGTTAATTGCTTCTCTGAAGGGTATGGCTGCTTTGACAGCTATGTAACAGATGAAGGCCATCAAGGTAAAAGTATTGAGCTGCAGGTAAATCTCAGATGAGTCGGGATCAGGGACAGGGTGGCTGCCATGGCAGAAGCACAGAGCTCTCCTCTGGCTCCATGATGCAAACAGGAGTGCAGCCGTGGCAGTGTAAAGCCACATCCCTGGTTACTCAGTGTCCCAGTGAAATGAGTTTCGCAGCATCAGCCCAAAGCCTAGAAATGTGCACACATTTAGCATGCATTAGTAACATAACCTTCCCACACCATCTCCAAAGGCAGAGTCAAATGCAGATGGAGATTTGACAAACACTCTCTCATCCTTCGAGGCAGCACTTCTGGGATGGGTCAAGTCTGAAGAAATCCTCCCAGCTACCACCATTATCCTCTAGGGATAAAGGGCTTCTGCTTTTAGTGGTGTCAACTCAGCATTGTTTATAAACCACAGTATTCAATTGTAACACATTCTCTCCTCCATACTGTGAGCTCTCTGACAAGGAGAAATACACACTTGTCAATAAATACTAAACTGACATTTTTAAAAATTTCATTCACAAGTTTAGTTTATATTAGAATATTCAAGTAACACAATGATAAAAACTTCCAAACAACACGTGAAGAAAAATGTTTTTAAAAGTTACCTCAGTCTATTATAAGTATGAATGCAACATGCTTGGACATACAGACTTTAAAATTTAGCCCACCATGAAATCCAAGGAGAAAAGAAGGCTTAGACCAGCTTTCCAAACAAGTTTAAAACCTCCTTTAGAAATGTTCCCTTGTGGAGCAAGCTAGTCTGATGTGGGGTAAAAAGTATAAATATGGCAAGATATGAGGCAAAGTCTGACTATAGCAGCCAACAAGGATTTAAAAAGATTTAGGAGGTTTGAGAATGATCCATGTTATTCTCCCCTTGTCTCTGAACAGTGCTTCCTTCTGTACATTACTAGCCTGTCGATGAGTACCTCTGCCAAAATGCAAGAGTAAGCCAGACTAGCTGGTGGATCCTCCATGGGACCAAAGTACCATCACAGTCAGGTACAGCCCAACTATTTCTACAATGGCATATAACACTACAAGTTGACAAATAACATGACAGTGAAAAACTGAAAGGACCTAATGCAACCAGTCAAACTCCATTCAACACCTTTTGACCAAGGGCAGCAGTTTGCAATGAACAGCCACTCAATGAACAGCAGTTGCAAATGAACAGCCATTTGAACAGCCACTCTGTTTCAAAACCACCTCCTGTGCACAGCCTGCTCACTCTCTCTGTTCTCTCACACACTCATGCTCTCTGGCTCACTGTTCTTCTTCTCCTCTTCCTCTCACTGGGAGTCTCCTGAAGTCTCCCTTTGCTTGGGGCTCAGTGTGGCATCGCAGAAAGCAGAATCCTTGCAGCTCATCAGTATGCCTGCCCCATCGGGTTGTCACTCTGGCAGCTGCATAATTCCCTCAAGTCTCTTTCTTCATTTTCTTCCTCTTCCTCCTCTCCTTTTTTCCAGATACACCTGCCATACACACAACAGGGGCCAGTGCACAAATGTTCCATGTGCAATCACATCCCTGAGAACTGTTGGCTTTTTGCCTAATGAAGGGGATTTAAGGGTTCTTAGATGTGTTTGACAAGGGCCACCTACTTTTGAGGGTAATCCAAAGTCATGGGGAGGTCTCTGAATGTTTTTAGTGGGCTCTGACTCACTAAAACACGTTTCCTTCTGTTTTGTGTTGAAAAAAATTACTGTCACTAAATGCAATCGTAGCTTTGCTCAGTAACTGAGAGGAGCAGGAACAGGTATTTGTCACAGAAAAGCCTCTGTAATACCGAGTAATGCAGAGGTTCTCAAAGAATTAACATATACAGCTAAAGGAGAAGCATTTTGCATATTCACTTAAAATGCATTTGTAAACACTTCTCAGATTACATATTATTCTGAAAATTCATCAGATGTGCAAAAACAATCACTTACCATTACTGGGTGAATTATTAGCAACATCCAAGGATTTTTTGAAGGAAACAGAGACCGCATCACTGCTATAGTTTGTAGATATCAAGTCCCTTGGGCCTTCTTCGATTCTTGTTTGCAAACCTTGCTGGGGTTTAATTGAAACAATATGCTTCACTAAGCATACGAGTTAAACGAAATATATGCAAATACAGAATATGAGAGAAAATGTCATTATTGGGGGACATTTAAAGAAACTGTAGGACAAATTAATTTTTACATGTTAGAATATTCCACATGAGGCATGTCCTCAACCTACCTCCTATTTATTTGTTTTAGAGGGGATTATAGTGTTGAAATTGTCTTTAATTATGATTTTTCCCCTTGCTTCCCCCAGTGAATGGAAGAACAGCAAGAAATATTGAGATGGAAGTACTGTCATTGTGTAGTGACACTGAAGAGTAAGATGAGCCTCGTGTCTGCTAAATGTCCAAAGTCCACAGAAACACTGGATGTAGCACAAGGAGTGTGATGAGCAACTTTGCGGATCTGGCTTCAAAAGTAATTTCATTTTTTTTTGTCCATCTCTGAAGGATGAGCTTGCACAGCAAGCAGACACAAGCATTTGGGGCTGAGATACAACATGAGCTTCTTCTGGCCCACTATAAACATGCCAGAAGAGCAATGCTGTCCTGAGGAGTCTGAGCAGCACTGTTAAGATTATTCATTAAGGTACATACAAAGCTAAACCAACTAACTGGATGTGCAAGAAAGCAAGTAGCCTGGCAGCACTCTGGGAACTGATGGACTGGCCTAATGACTATGTGGATTGTGGTCAGTTAAAACCTTTTTGCTTAAAATGGGAGCATCTGGAGTTCAGGGAGCAAAATTGTCCTGAGGATCATGAGAGACCACAGTGGGTGTGACAGGAAGAGAAATGATCAAAACAAAACAAAACAAAAAAGCTGTACAAGTCCAGAAAAACATATTCTGTGACAAGTGAATGAAATACAATTAGGACATTTTGTGGGATTCACCCTTGCATTTCTCATTTCACAGGACAGCAAGGACATTACAGCCAAGGGCTGCTCCAAAATCCAGTCAACACCCTGTTCCTTTGCACTTCCCATCCCCAATGAACTGACACCCTCCACAGCCTTTCTCGGTTGCACTCTGAGACATTTTTCTCTCAATAAGCTTTTTGCTGGTATAACATTGACCTCTCTTTATCTTCACTGACTTTCAGGAACCACCTTTGCATTACTGTTTATATCTCTGGGCGACCTTCAGCTACAGATAAAACACAGCTCAATTGTACACTAAACTTGGAGTGCATCTGGCTTTAATCATGGAAGAAAAAATGCTTAGCCAGAGGCATTCCAAGTTTAGTGCATAACTCTCTGTACTGTAAAATCAAACTGTTTTGCAAATCTATTAGGGAATACCATGTTGCAAAACCTCGGGGTTCACTGTGCTCACACTTCTTTTGTGGGAAGGCAGGGAGAAAAGAAAAGAGGAAGCCAGAAGATAGAGAGGAAGAAAAGTCTCCCTTGGGTCACAACATCCTAACAGAGAAGACATACCCCTCTGTTCTTGGAAAACCAAACACTACTCTTGAATAAAAAATACTCACATGCTTCAGCCCAGATCCACCCCTTGCTTCCTTCACTTCCATTTTCTTCTTCTTCCGCTGTGTTTTGCTTTCAAGTCCAGAAGGGCAGAAGCGAATCCCTACTTTGCCTTTTGGCAAATCCTGAAAGGATCAGAGATGTTGTAAGAGGAGTCATGGCACAGATAATTCTTGGTTTTTTTCAGGAAAACCAATTACCTCCAGGAGTGTGTTCTGACAGCGCACAAGCAGGGCATCTCTCTGGATAAGGTACACACCTGAGATTAACACAGTTCTTTGCAAAAAGCTCAGCATGCTCTTCCCACTGCTGCCAAAGGGAATATTTCTGTGGGCTTCTAGAAGGCATTTAAACAGCAAACCTTCTGCTTCTACCTCTCTACCCGAGCTACCACTGTAGCACTATCAGCAAACCCTCTTATCAGCAAACTTAAATAAATATGTCCCAGAAGGCTGGTGTCAGCTGTGGACTCCACACCTCTTTTCAGGCCCAGGTGTTTGGAACAGTCAGCAGTGGTAGAAAGAGTTCATTCATGCAGAGTGACCAGCCAACTCCCCCCAGCCCATCCTGCAAAAGTGTCCCCCAGCTCCAGCTATCTCAGACAGGTCAGGGGAGTGACCAGACCAAGCACCTCCTCTCAGTGTGAGAAAGCCCCTGCAACCAGAGGAGCCCAGCTCCAGGGCTGGACTGGAGACCCCAGCCTGGATAAGACTGACCCCAGTGGAGCAGGTCTCCCTTGGCCATCAACATCACTGCCTCACCTTCTCCTTCTCCTCCCCTGTCTGATGTTCCTCATCTCCAGTCCAGTTCCCCCACTCTTCCATGGGAGCTTTCCAGTCAGAGTCCAGGTCAAACGCTGAAGGGTCATCTATTAAAGCAAGTGTACAAATGAGTTATGTTCAAATCCACACTACCTCCAGCCTCACATGAGAAGCACAAATGCTGCAAAGAATACCTGTCACCTTTCTGCTTGCCATTGGGTGCGCATATATGCATCTGTCTTAAATGTACCAAGACATTTACAAATGTATTTTAAAAAATTACTAAAACATACACATTGACTACTAATTCACAATTACTGACTGCACTCTTCATGACAGGAAGAAAATTAAAGAAGGGCGGAAAAACACGTACAGGAACAAAAGCCCTGCCAGCCTGCACTTCAAGAAAACGAGCTTTACAAAACTAATAGCATGGCTGGTCAAATATTTTCTTTTAATCCCATGGAGAAGGATTCAAGCACATCCAGAAACATTGGCAGGCACAGCAGGCTCTTCCACTCACTGCAACACACCATCCTCTGTGCAATTATTTGTATGGAAGGGTAATATTAGCAAAGGATTTGTGCATTCATTAATGCTCTCACTGGTCTTTTCTTTCCTATAAAAAATAAAACGAAGTACATTCTTGACTTCATCTTCCTTTTCCATTTTCTTTTTTTGAATGTAAACCAGAAAAGCACCATTAAGCACTGTTTTCCAAACTTCCCTAACAAGCAACTTTAAACAGGCATGAAGCAGGTAACACCTACTCTGCATCAACTCTGACCATGTCATGGGGGCTACGCAAAAATCTTATCAAAATCTTTTAGATTTCTGTATCTTTCAGCATCTGGTACCTTTGAAAATCTGGCTGCAAGCCCTCAGCTGCCTCTCCACAAAGGACTGGCAAGTGATCCTTAGGCAAGAAGGCAAAACAGACCAGTCTAATTCCTTTACACAAACTGAACGAGGTGCAAAAAAGCAGATAAATCAGCATAAGACGTTGAAAGGGTTACTTGGCTATTTTTTAATGATTTGAATGCAACAATCCTAAGTCTTATCCTAAAAGGGAGAAAGACTTCAAAAACACAGCATATAATAATAACTCTTAGCTGATTATGTGTCTTAAAATAAAAATAAAAAAATTTAAAAAAATCCCAAACCTGATGGAAAAACTTCTAGTTGAAGCAGGGCCAAAACCAAAAGCATGCTGGGGATGATAAAAGAAAACTGTTTCCAAAAAGTTGCTCTGACCAGTTTGCTGCCAAATGTTATAAACATGATTATAAACATTGCTCAAGTTTCTCAGTTTAAAATCCATGCCCTCTGCATAGAGAGTCTTTCCTTCTTCAAAAGGAATATGAACAAGTAATTTTGAACACATTCCCCAGTAAAATTCCAGTCGAAAATAGAATTCAGTCTCCTGAGCTGCAAGGCAGCAGCTCTGCCAGTGGATGCTCTCGCGGGTGTGCAAACAAAACAGACCGTAACTTAACACATGGGAAGTCACAACTGTTGTTTTCATGTATTTAACTTCTGATTTCTCAAAAAGTGCATTAATGTACATACTTTTAAGCATAAAAATAGTTTTAATGGCAATCTGCCTGCAATGGGCTTACATTCGTGCTTCACCCTTGTCACGTGTGGTAATGAAGCTTGGCCAGACTGTGGTGACTCTGCCACATCTCAGAATTACTCTTCCCAAAACTTTGTGTCCCAGGATGTTTAAAGTCAACTCAGAGTAAAATTAAGGGCAATATAAGATTCTTTAAAATTTGCTGGATTTGATGGGTAAATCGGATTAAATGTTCTTATCCCAAAGCTCTGGTTCAAAATCTCTCCTTTTGTGTAGCGTATTTCCCTTCTACAGTGATATGTCTCACAATGCCTTTAAACTTTGAATACTCTCTAGTATTTTTAAATCAGCAACTGATTTTCCTTGGGTCAGAAATTCTCTCACAGTCTAAAACTGATCAGTAATTTCTGTGAACAGGAACACTAAAAGGAACATGCCATGCAGCAGCAAGTCCCCCTGCTCCCCATATGGGCTTAGCACTAATGGGGGCGATATCTCTCCTGGTGCAAATATAGACCAATATCTTGATAATTCCTGGTGTTCATTTTTACAAAAGCAAGGCTGTTACATTTTCCAACTAGGTTCTTGCTTGCAACCCACCTCAATCCCCCAGCAACTCCACCCAGACAAAGCTGTATTCTTCTGCTGGCAGCAAATATTTACAGCATGCGTTTCAGGGCCAAGGTGGTTTCCATATACCCCATGCAATGAAGACACTTTTAGATCCTGAAAGGAACTATGTTGAAGGTTTCTTCAGAAATCAGGGACGCTGCCAGCACCTCTGCAGACAAAAAGTCCATCCCAGCACCAAGCACCTGAATGCTCTTGATCTCCAGTCTCTCTCTGTGTAATGCTGAGGAGCAGCCATTTGCACCCTGGGAGGGCCCCGCAGTATCAGGGTCTGGTCAAAAAGGAACAGTCAGCAAGTTCTCTGTGCCCGCTGATAAGATAGGGTGGAGTACAGTACTCTACAGGCTGACTCTTGTTATCTGGCCTGGAAAATGAAACTGGAAAGTACTGCAGCAAAACTCACTCTATGTCATTGAGATAGGGATTCAAAATTTTCTAATCCAGAGTTGTACATTTGGATTCCGATCTTCCAGCATCCCTCTTGGCACGCTCTCCCTCAATATGGTCAGCAGCAACCTAAGGGAGGTTCATCTGGCAGGGCAGTCCCTCAGTAGGCTGCATATTGTCCATGGCATTGAGTCTTTCTGTGGGTGCTGTAGAAAACCCAGCCCTTTGCAAAAGGCAGTTGACTGTGTAATGAGCACAGTTCTAACCCAAATTCTTATGCTTGGAGTCCAAGTGTAATCCACTCAGTTCAAATGGATAGATAATTTCCTGTCTAAAGCTTGCATTTCTATGTTACAGATCAAAACTATTGCTACCAATAGATGGGTGTAGGATTCCCTCATTTGGCACCTTTCATAATTCAGTAGGGGCAAAGTATCTAACAAATCCCAGACTGAAGACTTCTTTTAGTGGAAAGAAGCTATTGATTCTCATGAAACAAAATAATTAAAATTTATTTTAACCCCAGAACAGAAGGAAGGATGGGAGTCAGGAAACATAGGGTCAAGAGGCATGGGAACTTTCTTAAGGTTCCGGAGAAAATTTGTGTTGGCAATCAAGAAGGACTCATTGGGAAGATGCCAAGACACAGGTAAAAAGCGACTCTCATGGTCATGAAGCGCTGCATTTGCAAAGCAGAATGTGGGTTTTCTGAGACTGCCCTGTGCTGTTGCCAAAGGCCAGGTCCAGTGCACTTGGAAGCAGATACATGGGATAAAATTAGTATTCGCTTTCCTTGGAGCCAGACACAAGTGCTCCAAAACAGCCCAGCCAACTGCGCTGTATGGGTTACATGTTTTGTAACAGCAAAACCAGCCACAGCTTATGATGCATTCTGTGAGACAGCAAAGCATAAGTACATAAATGTCACCAAAGGGGCAGTGGCAGATACGTGGTATAGGTGCACAAAGGTACGATTGGGAAACATAAGCAAGTAAAGCTTCCAAGGCAGAGGCAGGAGGATCCAGAACAACCCTGCAGAAGAGGCAAGAAAGACGCCTGGCAAAAGCAGAGCACTTTCTGGATTCAAAAATGAAGTGAATTATGCCAGGACCAGAAGAGGTTCAGCCCTCTTTCTTTTCTGTTTGTGGCAGGAATGAGAAGTATGCAAACACTAATGATGAGCAGGGAAAAATGATGATGAAAACACTTCCCACTTTGGGGCCCCCTTCCCTTGTGGAAGAGTCCTGGCCACCTCAACCTGCTGGTGGGACTGCTGGGACTGCAGCCATCAGTGTTGACCGTGTGGCTTCAGGTCCAAGATACTGAATGCCCCCAGACAATGAAGGCTTAGATTGCTAAGGACTGATTGTTTGAACATGTAGAGAAAATGACTGATGACAGAATGAGGATTTCAGAATTGATGAGGTTGGAAGGGGCCTCTGGAGATTGTCTAGCCCAACCCCATGGCTCACAAAGGGCTCAGCTGTAGCAGGTTGTTCAGGAATGTAGCCATCAGAGTTTTGAATATTTTCAAGGGTGGAGACTCCGTAACCTCTCTGGGCAAACTGTTCTGTTGTCTGACCATCCTCACCATAAAAACAAAGCCTGTAAGTGGAAGTTCACTTCATACTCATTGCCTCTTCTCCACCCTCTGGGCAGACCATAGGCAACCACCTCATCAGGTTTTTATACACATGGATCGCCTCTGCTGGACCCGCTCCAGTATGTCCATGACTGTCTTGTACTTGAGAGCCCAGAAACGTTTGGAAACCAGGCTGATCGACAGTCTTTTTTCACTCCCATATCGCAGTGACTATTCAGTTCTCTAACCACTAGCTCCCTCTCTACCTCTATGGATATATGCTTTCAGTTGTGACAATACTTTAGCCTTTTGACAACACTCAAGCCTTTTGTGAGTGATGGTGTTATTATTGCTGGTACTTTACAAAAAGATAACCTGATGTGGAGTGGGGAGCCGGCCAAGGCAGCTCTACCGGCTGGGGCAGGAGCAGGAGTCCAGCATCCAGTTCCTTTGGCTGCACCAGCACAGAACAAAGGGACTCAATACATGTACTACTCTGGATTTGATAAAATGACCCCAACTTGTATCCAGGTTATAAATGGATTTTTTTATTATTATTATTATTTTATTTTTTTTTTAGTTTCCAGGCCTGCAAGAGCTAACAGGCTGTGTTTGACTGTCAAAGAGCTCATTTTGCCTGCAGCGCCAACCTTAATGCCAACCATTACCTCATCTAAATTCAGGGAATACATGTTCATGACACTCCCCTCCCCTGCATCAATATCAAGGCTGATGATTCAAAGGAAAGAAAAAATACCAGGACGAAGAAGCAAGCTGTAAGGCAGGCAGAATAATCCTTCCAAATGCTTCTGTTCAGATGTTTGCAGGAGCAACCTGCTGAATTTGCTCCTATCTGTTCTGCTCTCAGACAGACATGGCACTCAAAAAGCAGAGCTCTGCTTGGCTTTGCAACTGCAGATCAAGCCCAGAGTGTGCCAAGTCTGACATGTGCTAGATGCAGTGCAAGGGAACGCTGCTGATGAGCTGCCCACGCTGCCTCCCTCCATCCCGCGCAGGCAAGCCGGGCTCCAAAGTTGGAAAGGGCCAGGCACCCTCTTGGAGCAACACAGCACTAAGGGAAGGGAATACTTGGGGTTGGGATTTTTGTTTTTATTCTTTTTAAAGCAAACAGTGCTATTTATAAAATCATGGCCAAAATGATGCATCTGCTGCAGAGCCTCAGCTACCACTGGGCAGAGAAGCAAGACAACCACAGTCTTTTCTCCTTAATGCATTCCACCACTCTGGCTTCTCCTACAGTTGAGCAATCAGAGCAGCTACAGTAGGAAGGGGTTTGCTCGCTCGTCAGCCATCATGCCTGCAAGAGCAGGGAAAGGCCTCCCAACAACAGGGGTATATATAGATACTTCTCTCAATCCTGGCCAAAAGGTCAAGAGAAAAAGGTCATCTAATACCCACGCTGTTCATGCCAAATTATTCCAGCTACTCAGGACCCACGCTGGTCTTTCAAGCAGATTTTGAAAGTAAAAAACCCTCATTACCAGTCATAAAAAGACTGAAATCCTGATTGCCACAGTGCACTGGAGGTGGATTCTGCATCTGTGTTCAGGGTATTACCAAGGAAATTTAAAGTTTAGGCAAAGGTATTCTGAGCTCTAGAAGCACCCTGTCTTTCCATGGCTCTCCCCTAGCCCAGACTGCAGTTGCCTGGAAAAGGGCCACTTAGCTCCACCTTCCCACCACACAACGGGAGGGAGGGAAACACAATGCTTCAGTTATGAAAACCAAACACAACTTTGAACTCATTTCACAAATTTAGTAATCTGAGTTGACTGCTAAACATAGGGTTTTTTTGAAATGCAGAGCCTATCCTGATGCGTCTGGCTCAGGAAGTCCCTGACCCGCTCTCTGCAGGGTGTGGGGAGGGATCGCCCTGTGCTAACCCTGTTCCTGTGCTTATCTGCCCACAGCTGATAGCAGTGCAACTGCCAGAGAGAGGACACCGCCACAGAAGCCTGCAGGCAGCCTCCCTACGGCTGCTCCTGCTGCCCAGGAGCTCTAATTGCACTTTGCACAGCAGTATGTGTGCACTGAAAAAGACTGTACTTTCTGCGTCCCTTTTTTGTCATCTTCTGAGGAAAAACATAAATAAAATGCATGTTCTTGCTCTTCTCCAGGGTCCCATGTGGGTGCCTCCTGCCTGACCGAGCTCACAGCAGCTCTGGGCACCTGCCAAAAGCTAGACCAACACATGGGAAGTGGCTCCTGATTTCTGAGGCTTGGGAAACAGACTAAAAGAGTATCAGCATTAGTACACTTGCCTTTGAACAGAAAAAGAGCAAAGAGACATACCCTGCCCCTGCCACACATCGTCTGTGGGGAGGAAAGTCGAGCTGCTGTGCCAACAGCATCTGGAAGGACTGTCCTCAGATGATTTACTCTTCATGTTATCTGCATATAGCAAAGTGTCCTTTTTAAAAATTAAAACAAAAACAAAACCAAAAAACCCTCAAACCTAAAAGATAATCACATAGGTATATTCACATTATTAAAACCAATTAATCATGCCTCTATCTGCTCACTATGTCACAATACCTAGATGTTATGTAATTTAAGCCACACATTAATCTATGCTGCTCATCGCAGTGGATTTATTAACAAAGGCTGGACGAGGACACTACATGCATAAGTTATTAAAAACAATTCACTCAGGAGTGACTACATTAGCAATAGTCCAATAGTCATAAAATGTTGGGGACCTAAGAAGGAAGCTATAGTTCCTGCAGAACAAAAGCCACATGCAGTGAATCCAGCTCCAACTCCCACCACCTTCAGTGAGAAAGTTTCTGCTCAAGCTAATAGAAATCCATAATTACTAAATTAATTGCTTCATGAAAGAGAGAGATGAGAGAACTGCTGGGGGAAAAAGAAAAAAAATTTTGATGATTACTTTCAGCTGCTAAAGTAACCAGTAGGATTCACATACCTCCCTGAATGACTCCCCTTAACCCCTTTCTAAGGCTTGTACATAACAGACCAGTGTTTTCTTCACATCTTTCATAAATCAGGGAGATTTTTTCACATCTCTGATCTTTCTTTTCTTCCTTTCAGCTGAAGAACTCCCTGGTTTTGTTCAGTATCAGCTTGATTTTTTGCTGCATAGATGCAGATGGTAACAAATATTTCTCCCTGTTGATTACTTGTACATTAGGAACTGCTTCAATCCATTAATGCAGTGTTGGAAAACAGATTATTAAATACAGTATATATTATATTGATTGCCATGTCTGGCTTTAGATGCTAATTTCAGCATTCAGGCTAACACCACACACGCTGTTTTGTGCACAGATGTATCTATGTTTGCCTTTAGCAAAGATTCAGGACCAGACTTTGCATTCATGATCCAGTTGAACTTTCAGACAAATGTGAGTTTCTGGTAGGCAGGGAATGTATGACCCAGGAGTGCTCCAAGTCAATCAGTGAGAAGAACTGACAGTTGCAGAGATACAAAGTGAAAGCCAGAAACGAGGATCAACTTAATGCAGAACCAGTAGATGTTCCATCCTTCTCAAAGCCACTCACAGAGAGGGTCAACCTGAAAATCCCTCACTGTGCTGGATAGGAAGGTGCTGGATAGGCATCCTCTGACAGAGCTTTTCCAACCTGGGCGTTCGCTCCCTCCCTCAATCTGAAATTCTCGGAATTTTTTGGTCATCACAGCACAACAGAAACCTTCTGTGTGAGTAAACCCAACAGAAAGAATTTGCTGGGGAAGCAATATTTTTTTTTATTTATTCCAAGATGAGATACGAGTTTGGAAAGCACTCAATAAAAGGTCATGATGTCACTCTCTAAAATACTGGATTGCAGATGCAAGCAAGCTCTGCAAGGGAGAGTGACTAATGAAATGTGGCTCCAGGGTAGAAGACCCATGTGTGATCAGTGAGAGCCCTTTTAAGCCAAGCTTCTAAGAAAGTGATAGAAGAATTCAGATAAAAGTCCAAAGAGAGACCACTCACCTAAATCCCTGGACAGATCTGATAACGTCCCAAAGGTCACAGGACAGGATTTTACATCTGCAATATCCCATGTTCCTGCATTTAAAACGCAAACAAACAGTAACCCTAAACCTGATGTCATGTTCACAGCTGGTGGCAGCAGTTTCTACCTCGCTCTCCCAATCTCATTACAGGCCGCCTGTGTTCTCTCCATCCCAAGCCTGCATCCGCTGCTGTTGCTGAACAAGAATCAAGCAAGGAGAAAACACCTTTATGGTGTCCAGTTCCATCACCATGCACACCTTCTCAGCCCTTCAACATGCATGTCACACCAGCATGGCCCTTCTCTGGACTTAAATTCCTCACTCATCTGAACTGATGTCCCCTTTATGCACTACTGGCAGAATTTGTCATCAAGTATCAGTTGGAATTTGGCCTTTTGAAAGCATTAGAGTAAAAATGGTACTAATGTCCTCCCCCTATTGACCCTATACTTTGCAAGAGAAGGACTCTATCAGAGAAGGCAACTCATGTGAGAGCAACCTAAGAGCATTTTCTGAATCACCGGAATACTGGATTACTGCTACTGAAGGTGAGTCATCATATGGCCTTATATACCAATCAGTCCAGCCATCACGCTTGGTTAGTCAGAGAATGGAGTAAAAACTAAATGCTTTTTATTTAGGAATACCCTGCCCCATAGTGCTTTGAAACATGTGGATATATACCCTGCAGTCTAACTCTGCCCATGTAAGAAGAACCTCGGAGGGAAAGGCTTTGGTTGCAAGGGGCCAAACATGAAATACCTGTGGGTAGAAAACAACTTGCACCCTGCAGGTAGTCTACAACACAAGAAATTCCTGCCATAAAGACCCCTCTTTTCACACTGCTGGGAAATAAATGAGAGCTAGCAGGGTGCAAGGGGGGTGGACAACACTGTGTGTGCAGGATGAATGTCTGATGGAAACAGCAATTTGTGAAGCTTTCCCTTGGCAATGCTTGAACACCCACACTCACCTACATTGGAGAAAATATCCTCTTCTGACCGGGAGGGCACTGATTCTTCCCGTGTGGCTCCTGAGTCCTTCAGCGTGGCCCCACACTCTGCCTTGGCAAAGAGAGCACCTTTTCCACCACCACTGGTGTCCCCTGTGAGTGGCCACACCGCTCCCTTCTCATCCCAGTCAAAGGCTGGCTCAACCGCTGAGCTACCCAGGGATGCTCTGCTGGGGTCTTCTCGGGAATAAGCATTACATAATTATTTTTAATTACAAGGAAGAGTTTTTACTGAAGAAACAATAGAACAAAGCCTGTTCTAAACCTGTCAGATGTAATGGCTATTTCTAACTGAAAGTATTTACAGATACAATTGCAGTGAAGCAGAGTGCCCGTGATGGGACTCTGAGGCAGTAAATATGAAGGTCATATGAGAAAAAAGGCGCAACAGAGGCCCTGGATGTCCCTTCCTGAGTGCAAGGGTGGTTCAAGGCCTCTAGAGTCCAGCTGGAGACCCAGAGCAGTGAAGGGAGAGAAAGAGAACAGCTGGACCTCCAAGGAACAAGAAAGCAAACATCTTGGATATTGCTAGTTCACGGCTGCTAGAGAAATCAGTGCCAGGCATATGGATATTTTAAATAATGACAATTATCTCCAACATATTTTGCTTCAAAGGACTCCTAAAGCACTTTGTGACTCCAGCCTTCAGAACAGCAAAGCATTTTCCTGGGGCTCTGGTGGAGAGGGGATCACTGCTGGCAACAACTCCACCTTCACTCACCTTAATGCTGATGCTGATGCTTCTCCTTTGATAGGGAACAGCAACCCGCACTTAGCAGGGTTAGGCCTTCTTCCTAGAATACATCTCACTGCTCTGTAAATGCCCATACTAACATGATCACTTGGTTCAGCATCCTGGACAACCCAGGCTCGAGGATCCCACCAAGGGCTTCTGGTCCTTCAACTACGACTTGATCTACTGAGCTCCCTTTCCTGGGTCAGCAAAGCACTTAATGCCTGCACGACCTTAGAGTTAAACCAGGCATGGTTAACCTTCTGCTTGTGCAGCTGGTTACACCCATGCCAACAGGTCAGTTTACATGAAGAAAGAAATGTGGAACCATCTACTTTGCTGGAAAGCAAGCAGAGACCTCAGCATCTTAATCCCTTAGAGATTCATGCAGGTATTTAACTGTTGATAATACAAGAGTTAAAAATCCAAGGTCTTGATTTAATAAGCAAAAAGTAGTCCTAAAATGTCTGTATATTTTCAGATTAAAATTTGCTGTTCATTTTCCCTTCAATTTTAATAGAGCATCTGAGAGCACTTTAAGACAGTCTTATTGCAGACAGTGCACAAACTCACACATATATATCCAGCTGCAATTCCAAATTCCTATCTTAGCTATATAAGCTATATTACTGTAATATATTAAATTTAGAGGTTATTTTGATTATTTTATCACAGATAATGAAAACATTTCCCAATGCCTTAATTCCAAGACCCATTTCATATAGTGGTTATTACATATAGCATGATTAGTAGAAATGTATGTAGGTATAAGTGCATGGCAGACACCTTGAAATACCCAGAGGAAAAACATGGAGTGAGCAGAAAGTGTTGTTTCATTTTACCTCATTAGGATAAGAGTATATCCCCCTGTCATAGTTCTTTACTCTGGGCAGGCCTGGACTAAAGAACCTGTTTGGAACTGAGCAAATTACATGGGTTTTTATACATCCATTATCAGAAAATTTCTTCTGTCAAGCCAGGCAAAAGTAAGTAACCCACACAACACCAATCCTTTAGTAGATCTCAGATCTAACAGACACCTGCTTTCAGAGTCCTGTAGGTAATGCTATGTGTTTTAATGAGAGCCTGGAGTAAAAGGCAAGCTCACAAGTAAGAGCTCCCAAGGCTCTTTTCTAAAGTAAATAGCCTCAGTAAGTGCAAAGACTTTGCTGTCAAATGAGGAATAGAGCAAACAGAAAGATGCTGGGAAGTGAGGAGGGGTGACAAGCCTGGCCAGATCAGGTGTGTAAACTGAGCCTGTACATTTACCTTTTTGTTTCAGCCTTTCCTTCCTTAAGTGTCTCTTTTCACGGCTGCTGATCTTGGTCTGCCAAACTCCTACAACACAGAGCAAAGTTCATTTTCAAGCTAACAAAGAACTTCCTTTATTGGCTTTACTGCTTAGCCCAAGGTGCATAGCTATCTGATTGTTTCTGATGTTGACTGTAAAAGTGGTTGCAGGTCTCGTGCAACATCTCCCCTGTGTGCAGCCTTTGCTGCCTCTGCAGAAATGTGTTACATAAGAAATCCCCATCACAAACCTGTCTGTTATGTGTCCTGACCCACATAACTGCACATATCCTCCTGTCCTGTGTGTCAGCTGATTTGACACCCCTTTCCCTCAGGGGAGATGTCATAGCAGAGCATCAACCGCCTTGTATATTTGTCAGCAGGGAGAAATTAATGAAAATCTCAACTGTTAAATAAGGTTTCGATTTACTGGGTTTCTCTAGCCCTGAACATACTCTAAGACTTGTTCTGATGTGTGGACAGCCTCTACCACTCAGCTGGTTTCCACACACATTTGTTCACACCAATGGGGCCACATTCTACCTCTGTCCATGCTCTCCATGACCCAAGAAGTCAGAGGAGGGACCTGCAGCACAAATGGTTAATGAAGAAAAAACAGAGTCCCTAGATTTGACCTAGACAAACACTTTCTTTTTCTGAAGCATCCACAAATAACACATGAAACAGTTCAGCTGGCTTATCCATTCAGAAAAACTACAGATCCATTTGAAGAAAGCCTCTACTGTGTCCCCTTTTCCCCCAGCAGCCTTGGAGGCCCTCTGACACCAGGCCCCAGGAAGGACTCCGGACCAACAGCAAGCAAGGGCTTCTTTTGCTCTCACCACCAAACTAATCACATTATAATCTTTTAAGCCCAGAAAAGCTTAGAATTTGTTGTTTTCAATATGACCCTTGGTGGGGGAAGGCACAGAGGGGCTCATGGGATGCAATGTATTTTCCAATGAAATTCTAGCTGCCTGAGCCTTACTGGCCTCTGCCAGATTTCTTTGCAGATCTGCTTGCAAACAAAGATCTTGGCTCTGCTCACTGGCATGCTAGAAGTTGGCTGTATATTATCCCAGTGCCTTTACCAGCCTCAGTCACGGCACAACAATACACTGCCTGGGAAGACCACAGCTCCAGCTGCGGATCAGCATAGCAGGGGCCACAGGAGTAGAAGAAGAGCATGAAGACAGGACCTTGCTGCCCCGTGGGCCTCTGATCACTTCAGAGATGCTTCTTCACCTGCAGATTTGCCACCCTTGTGAAGATGCTCAGGATCTGAGCAGCATGGCAGGAAAGCACATGGCCCCCATCCACATAGTAAGAAGCAGGTGATAGAAACAACTCTCAAACTGGCAACTTTCTCCAATAGTGCAGAACACTGGAACAGTTGAGAAGACCTCCCTGTTGACATATTTCATCCTGTGTTACTGTTTGGTAATATACATCAGGTAACAGAATAACCAAATCTTTTTTTACCTTCCTCTTCTTGTGGTTTGTCTTTTTCCACAGAAAGCAGATCTTTTGGCACTTCCTTGTCTGAGCACTGGGTTTTCCTCTTCTTCTTGGGCTACAGTATACAGGAGATACACAGCAGAAAGATAAAACAGGTATTTGTTACATTTCATCATGAAGAAAAAGAGAGTCAGGGCAGTAGTTTTGAAAGGGAGACCACCCATGGTACTCAAGAGAGAACAAGAGGTTGCTGGAATCCTTAAGTGGGGGCAAAAGTCTTCCTGACAAGATTTTATTGCAAACTCCAAACCACTAAATGCTATCACTTTGGACCTACAAATCTTAATTTATCTGCTAGGTTAGAAAGCTCACATTTTTATTCAGGTACCTGCTCTGTAGAAGATTTGCATTCTTCATTTCTAAGTCCTAATTTTCTGCCTATAAAAGAGAAAACTCTGAAATTATTTACCCCCTTTAAAAGCAGGAATGCTGAAATCAAGAATTAGGACCCTACCAATGCTTAAAAAAAAAAAAAAAATCAAGAACCCCAAAACCATGGAACAGCCTATTTTTAGGCTGTAGTTTACACTAATCTGAAAGGGCATGGGAGTAGCTGAGCCCATTTTCAGTTGAAACAGTAGAGCTAACCTTAAGCCTTCAGTTTTGAATGTTGTAGTTTAAACACAGTGGTTCTTGACTTTTCCAAGATGGGAAACCCCTGCCAGAAACAGTTCCCTGGCCAGGCTCAGGGGGTGCTCCTCATTTAGAATCATAGAATCACTGAAAGGCCTAGGAGGGACCTTAAAGATCATCCAGTTTCCACTGCCCTACCATGGCAGGGACACCTTTCACTAGACCAGATTTCTCTAAGCCCCATCCAGCCTGGCCTTGAACACATCCACAACTTCTCTGGGCAACTTGGAAGCTGGAACTTGGAAGTGTCTTGGCACTGACCCTTTCCCCCACAGCAGTACAACTGCTCAATGCCCAAGATAAAACCCTTAAACAGATCCAAGGACATGTACCCTGTCAGAGCTGGAAATGGAATACAGGAGATCCCAGCACACACTTGGGCTTGGATGATGAGACCATCCCACTTATGGTGACAGTGACAATCACTACAGTGTGACTGTGCCAGAAAATTACATGGTCTTATATTCCTAAGTCATCCCTTAAATGCACCAAAACCAGGAAGAAAAAATTACCTTATAAAAGAGGACATTCTTAAAACAACTGTCTCTTTAAAGACAACATATAAACTCTAAAACTCTTGCTGGTACCTTGAGGAGCTTTTTCTCTCTGATGTTGACTGATGTGATAACTTGGCCATTTACTGGGACCTAGAAGATGGACAGTAAAAAAATGTATTTTGGAATATATATATGCATGTGTTTGTATGCGTAAATATACATGTAAATACAATTACTTCAAAACCTTCCTATAAAACTTATAATACTCTGAAAGACACAGCTAAATAACCTGTTGTACAAATCTGGGCTAGAATTTCTGGCCTTGTTCTAATTGGAGTAATTTATTCCAAATTAATTAGTGTTAGCTAAGCCTTTATGAATGTAAATCCACAAACTCCACATAGATTTATTCCAAAGCAGACATATTTGTGGTTTATCCTAAGATTTGTCTAGGATCAAAGTTGTTTTTCAAATAGGGTAAGCTTGTCTTAAAACAACAGCATAGACAGGAGAAGTCTTATTTCAATTCTTGTTTACTGTTTGGGGTGGACCTTATCAAATCTATCTGACCAGCTAAAAGAATGGCTTTCATCCTACCTAGACCCTGTAAAGTAAACAATTAAAGTTTAAGGACTTTTCAAATTATGGTTTGATTAATGTCTCAGCTGTCTCAGAATTCCCTGGCAATGGCCAGCCTCCAGATACAGAGATGGGAGAGTGTAAATCTGCAGCTGACACAGCAAGGGCTGTGCCAAAAAGGGCCACTGCACACTATGCAGAGCCAGCAGCATCCAAGACAAGGCAGAACCTCCTTCCACTGGTGGCTGCTCACCCTTCTCACAAGTCATCTCTGTCCATGAGACACTGTGGTAGTGATTAGTTACCAGCAAATAAAATCCCCTGGGTGACTGCCCATGCCTGTCCCTGTCAAGCTCAGAGGGGCAGCAGACCTTCAGACTGTTAGTGCTCACCTCTTTGGTATTTTGGGGATTTCAGAGCTATTTTTCACAAGTCTCAGAAAGGTCTAGCTTGATGTGCAAGTTAAAGACAGCATGACAGGCACCTGCATGCTGGCAAGTACTTTGTCCCTGGGGGTGCTTGCTTGGAATTCCAGACCAGTTACAAGCCTGTGGTGGAGAAGGACCCAGCAGGCTGGTGTTCATCTGATGTACCACAATTATTGGGAGGGGAAGCTCCAGAATTGTGGAGTTTGCACACAGACAATATTGATTCTAGATCTTCCAGTAAAATATCACAGTAACAGGAGACAAAATCCCTGCCTGTTATATCAGTAATTAATTCCACCAGCTTCATATTATAAACTTAAGCCAAAGTGGTCCACATCTCTTCCATCTCCCTTGGCTGTCAATTGCAAACAATATTATTGTTACAATTATATTGTTCTGAACATTCACTAGCAAAATAATTACTTCTGTGTTAAAATCCATTACATTTTGTAATAGCTAGCAGGGACACTTTGGATTTTCCCACGGGCAGTCATCTCTCTTCTAAGACTCTCAGGTTCATTTACTAGAGGCACTCCATAAATCCCACCACAAAAGAAACCATTTTCCATCTCCTGCTCTGTTCAAGGAAAAAATCCCACTCTACCTGCAGCAGGGAGGGAAGTAGCCTCTCACATATGATGAGGGACATAAAATACAAAAACAGGAGTATTTGCTGAAAATTTGAACCATGTAGAAATGGAAAAACCTGAGCTTACACTATTCCTTGTTTCTCAGCATATGCTTCTGTCCACTTTAATGTGTGAAAATACAAATAAGATCATGTCTTAGTGAAGAACAATTCCTATGCAAAATGGAATATGGGGGGAGGTGACTTTCCACTATATGACAGAGGACTTCAGGAAAACTGAATTTTATGTGATGAATACAAGAAGGGATGACTGGGGGAAGCCACACAACATGTAAGTGCAATATTCCTTCCTAATCTCATCAAACCCTGATGATTTCCCAATTCTCATAATGAAATCTAAAGGCTTTGTAAATGGACCTCCCAAACAAAGGCACTTTGAGCAAGACTGCCACCGTGGGCACAGAAACAGCAGTGGCAACTTAGGAGGCAAGGAGGATGCTCTCTTGCCTTCTTTCAGATACACACAGAGGATAAGAGACATCCTCCTCCTGTTAGCCTCTCTTTACGTCAAGATGCTTCTGCAAGTATAAAAGACTACAGGCAAAGACAAGGAGATGTCAAGATTAAGGACATGCAACTGCCTTCCTGCCCTAGGCTGCTGTAACGGAGCACAGCCCAAGGCTGTACAGAGCCCTGACGCAGGCAATGAGAACTCCAGAGGGAAAATGTTGAGTGCAACAGAGGATTAAGGAAGATGGAAACTATATTGACTCTGACAGACTTGTCTCAGCTGGGGCAGGATCACGTTCCTAGACCTTCTCTCCATATAAATGACAGCAAGCAAGAAGCTGGAAAAATTGCAGCACTTTGTTTTAGCTCTTTGCCAACCTGACTGTTTTTGTATGGATAAAACCTGTATTCTTTTACCAGACAAGCACAACATTTGCTACTTAAATGTTATTTCATCTGCTAGACAAACATCCCCCTCTCTCTCCATTACTGACTAAGAGGTTAAAAATATACTGTTGACAGTCATTTACTATATTCCAGGGGTCTTCATGGTGACTGACTGGCTGCTCAGCCCTAAGTACCCACCTGGGACTCCTGAACCTTGTTGCATCCTTCCTAATGATCACCTTAGTGCAAAACAATACCACACTTGACCACTGACTGATGCTCTCACCAAACAGTCCACCGCGTTGATGCTCTTCTTTCAAACCTGAAATATTTGTTGCTTCTTCAGCATCCTTCAGTATAGCAGCATATATAATATATACAACAGCAGTAATTCCCTTCCTTTCATCACCAAGAATTTTTACTGAGTTCTACTTCCTTTCAGTGGAAAGGTATTATGTTAGCCTGACCTTTTGTATCAAATCCTGCCTTTATCCAACCCCTTTTCAGGCAGTAAGCTGGCTGTGTGGCTGAGGAACCCCACCCTACCCTATTCTTCCCTTTCGAAGCCCTCAGGGTAAGGGATTAGTCATGCCTCTTTATCATGCCGTTTGGCCATTCTGAAAAGGAAAAAGGAATTTTCATTATTTTATTGCATTTAACCTAATGGAATCATTAAAGAGAAATCAATATTGTCGGGGTAAATTTTTTCTCAATGAAAAATGTAGTTTTGTACAGGGAAAACACATCTAAACCCACCACATAAAGTGACTTTATAAAGTCATCAATGCAATTCCAAATACATTAAATATATGCAGAGAAGCAGAATTGGGACTTTTAGTGGAATAAGACTTAGCATATTAATTTCTACTCACATTCTGTGGAACAATAGGAAGATTATTTTTAGTTCATGGCCATTTGCTTCGTGACCCAGTCGAACAGGATTTCCCCCCCACCCCCTGCCTTTTTTCCCTTTTTATGTAACCTAAGTTTATATTTCAGATGATTGCTCTGAAAGTAGCAATTTCTGATTGATTCTTTTGAGCTAGTGTTTAATTTATTTTATGCTGTTAATACAGTTCTACATAAGGCCTCAAAGAAAGGAGGCAAAGTGACAGGTCTTCAAATGTTACAAAATACTGGGTTTAATCATGAGTATATAAACCGTGTATTTGAAGCCATAAAGCTGTACCCCTAGAGACTTACCTTTATGCATTTCAATAATTTTGTGAGACTAGTCAGTTTTGTAAAACCCAACACCTTTGTAAGTGTCCATCAGATCAGGCAGCCTGCTTTCACATCTCAGTGCCACCAACTGCTTACAGGATTAATTAAAAATTTTGTGAATATCAGCTTCAGGTTCGCTAACTGCCCTTTGTCCCTCTTGGGGAAGGTGCTTAAAATTGCCTTCTTTAGGAAGGCATGGAAAGGTTTGCCCAGTAGAGGGATACTAGGACAAAATAAACCCAGCCTATGAAACCCAAGGGGAGCTATTATATGCTTCACACATTGGAAATCAGGGAATTCATTTAAGAGCATGAATAAAATTCAGAAAATTGTTTTCAGCTACCACTTTCAGAAAACTCAAATTAAGTCGGTTGAACACTGGAAATGAAAGGAAGCAAGACTACCCCATTCTGGCAGGGGGTCTGTGAACACAAAACCATTTCCAGATTTAAGAAATACTTCAATTAAATTGTTTCTTAGTGTTCATTTCCAGTGCAAAAACTATTTTATTTTTTTTCACTTTATATTACAACACAAAATAAATGTGGTGGATTTAGGCTAAAAGGCAATACTGGTATGACAAAAGTAACACCAAAATGCACCAAATTAAAAAAAATAAGGGAAGGAGGAGGAGAAAAGAACAAAAAGGAAAGGAATTTCTAACCAGGGCACTACATAACCTTCCTTAAATATGCTGTGTTATACTGAACAAGGTATCACTACATTCTCAGATTTCTCAGTAGATGTTCAACAAGAACTTCATCACCCTCAACACCCTCTGGAAGATCTGGTCTTTACTCCCTACTCTCCACACTATGAGTTGGATATTTGCAGCACTGGTTGCAGTCCCGTTTGCTCTCTGCAAATGGGTTCTTGTCTCCTGTGCACAGAGTGGGGGCTCAACCACAGGGTGAGCAAACCCAAGTGCTGCTGTGGCCAGACAGCAGCTCGTATTGCTCCATCCGCAGACAATGAGCAACTCGTATGACAAATGTGTTGGGAAATGAAGCAGCACTGGCTCTCATTAATTCTGATCCAGATTTTCATAAATGGAAGCAGACATCCTGGCCAGTCTGGCTTTGCCACATGGTCTTGTGCTGATGATGGACTTCACTCTGGGAGTCTTATTCCCTGTATCAATGGGAACCAGGTGAATGGGAAAGGATGAGACTGCATTTGTCGGAGGAGAAAGGATGGGGTTAGGCAGAGGCAAAGGCCACCAGAGAGACAGGAAAGTATCAACTTCAAAGAAAATTACTCATTCAGTCCTAACAACTAGAGAAAGGGTAACACAATGCCAATTTCTGCTAAGGTGACAATGGGAAGCCAAAAATTCCCCATATTTGGTTCATTAGAAAAGGAAACTGAGGGGTCTTCATGAATGGCAGAAGAACGTAAAGGAGCTTCTTTGTGGAATGGCTTTTCACAACACT